TCGAGCGGAAGAACGAGACAAGCTGGCAGTGGTCCTGGTGCACCTCCTGCAGGGCGATGATCGTGGAGAGGGGACGCATAGAGAGAACGTACTTTCTCTTCAGGATGGCCTTATCCCCACCAGCCTGAAGAAGAGCCCGAGAGTTCCACGTAGCGATCCGAAACGTAGGTGCCGTTGAACCAGGCGGCGGAGGAGGAAGACGAAATAGCCCAGCGGCGCTAAAGGCACCACTGGCTGGGATCGGACGGGTGCGTGAGCTCCTTGACCGCATTGCGGAGCGTGTCGATCGCCATGGCGTGCTTGGACAGCTGCGCCGAGTCCCAGTAGATCTTGGGGGGGGGGTGTCGCCGTGGAAGACGCTGACCTGCATGATCTTGTCCCACCCGATGGAGAGGACGCCGAGCTCGCGGTCCGAGTAGAACCTCTTGCCTGGGTACTGCAGCTCGATGATCGCCCTGGCTTTGCGGAGGGTGACCTCGGTCTTGATGCGCTTGGGGGACTTGTCGGGGCCGAGGTGCAAACGGCACCGCTCGGCGCCTGGCGGGTCGACCCAGAACTCTTTCCAGCCGTCGGGTCCCTTGAGGAGCGAGGTGGCCTTGCTGGCACGGCGTGAGGCGATGGCGGCCGAGCCCGAGAAGCAAATCTCGAACCTCCTGGCCGGGGACTCGCCCTTCTGCTTGATTTCGTATTGTTCATCATCAAAACCAATCTCGCTGAGCCACGGTCGTAGCGAAGAGACGACTGACGCCAAGGTAGTCGGGCGCTGAGAGACGGCAACAACGATCGTGGTGTCCTCCTCGCGGTCGAAGGAGGTGGGAGCAGCCAGCTGCTTCCTCGGAGTCTGTTCGGCGATGGCCATCTGGCGACGAAGCTCTGCCAGCTGGTCTTGAAGCTCTTGAATGGACTTGTCATGCTCGTCCGCTCGACCCTCGAGGGCGTCGATGCTGCGCTTCTGCTCGTCGAGCTGGGCCTGGAGGCGTCTGTTGAGCGAGTCGAGTCTGGGTGCAATAGCCGATTGAACCTGGCTTTCGATGGCATTGGACTGTTTTGCCACCTCGCCCTGCATGGATGACAGCATCTTGAGCAGCGTGTTGTGATTGGACGTGATGGTCTTGGCAACCGACTCCGACACCTCGGTGGTGATGGTGTCCCGCATCGAGGCAAACTCCTCCCTGCATAGTTGCCGCAGAAAATCACCATCGTCATCGTCATCATCATGAGGAGAAGGTACAGGGGCACCAGCAGAGGACGGAGCGAGTGCCTGCCGCTTGCGCTGGGTGAAGCGGCCAGTGCCTTGGCCTTTGCCCGAGCGCTCGCCGTCGGGGAAGGTGGGCATCTCGTCAAGTTCTGCGAGCATCTGGCGCTCCTGGGTGCTCGTGCGCGCAGCAGGGGCAGCATCGGCCATGAGGCGCACTGGATGAGGGGGTGTCCGCCAGCCTTTGACAGCTGGGTGGCCCTGGAGGAAGGGCTGCCACACTCAAAACGGGCCTATCCCGATCTTGAGCCAAAATGGCAACGGAGGAGGAGGAGGAGGAGGAGGAGGAGGAGGAGGAGGAGGAGGAGGATAGAGCACCAGGAGGAGGAGGACGAGCAAGACGAGGAGGACGAGAACGAGGACGAGCAGGAGGAAGAGGAGGAGGAGGAGGAGGAGGAGGAGGAGGAGCAGGAGAAAGAGGAGGAGGAGGAGGAGGCAGGCTGAGGCTGAGGCTGTGACTGCGACTGCCGTTGCCGCTGCGACTGTCATCGCGAATGCGACTACGACTGCGAGAACAGCAGAATTCGACAACTGGATTTTCGTCTGAATCTTAAGGGGAATGCTTTCAGATATGCTTCTACACATCGCTGTTAGGTTGCTTTGCCGGGATAATTACGTCACCGCTCGCTCTTGGCAGCCTTGGTGTGAAGACTTGTTTACGCCACCGCTCGCTCGTGAGAGCCTTGAAGTTACGAGCTTGTCACGTCCTCTTTGGAGCCTCTATTATTGGACGTCTCTGGGCCTTCGTGGGAGTCCTGTTGGGGCCCTGTTAGGCCCACTTGGAGCCCTCTTGGGCCGTCCTGAGGCCCTGTTGGGCCGTCTTGGGCGTCTTGGAGGGCTTTGGCAGTCTTGGGGCTTTCCTTGGGGCCCCGTAGGGCCCTCGTCGGAGCCACTTGGGGCCCACTTGGGGCTCTCTTGGGGGCTTCCAAGGGCCCTCTGGGCCCCTCTTGGGCCCTCTTGGGAGTCCATAGGACCCTCTTGGGCCATGTTGGGACGATCTTGGGGCTCTCTTGGGGGGCGGTCTTGGCTTTCTTGGAGCGCTCTCGGGCCGTCTTGAAGCCATCTTGGACCTCTCTGGACCTTCTTTTGGCGGGGCGCACAAGGGTGTGGGGGGAGGGGGGAGGGCTTCTAGAAGGCTGCTTCTTAGAAGGCGCCGGCCCTACATCTATAGATAAGGCCCGCGCCTTCTAAGAAGCAGGGGTGCTTCTAAGAAGCCCTCCCCCCCTCCCCCCACCGTCCTCTGCGCGTGGCTGAGTCTCAGGGGTATCCGAGCCCGTGCTGGGCGCCTCTGAGGCCGTCCTGGGGCCTGGCGCGCGTCTGAACAACCTGGTTGCGCGCCGCTCGCCCTTCCCCCGGACCCCTCCCTGGAGGGCTTCGCCCCGACACAGCGTGAGCGAAGATCGCAAGCGGGTCTCCCGCGAGATGGCGCGGCGACCTTACGCCGCGGCTTACGCGGGCTGCCAGGCGCGGCACGCTGCTTCGGAGACGAGGGCGCCTAGGCACGACCTTACGCGGGCAACTCGCGCGCCAATGTCGGCGCAGAGGAGCCCTCTTGCTTTGTCGCTCACGTCATCACTCAGACCTCGCTCGTTCCGTCAACGTGGGCCAGCACGGGAGGGGAGCGAGCGGCTCCATGGAGCCTCCCCGAGAGTGCTCGTGATGGCGCCGTCCGCTCTCGGGGGCCTCGGCGTTGAGAGCCTTGTGCGTCACTGGGAGCTCGTCTTGGGAGCCTTGGCGTTGGGAGGGTCTTGACGTCACTTTGGGTGCCTTGAGCTTTTCACGTCACCGCTCGCTCTTGGGAGCCTTGGTGCTCAGAGCTTTTTGCAAACCCTTCCGCTCTAGTGAGCGTAGGCGCTCGGAGCTCTTCCGCCACCGTGTCTGCACGATGTGGGCGTGTTGGAGTGCTGTGTGCTGCACTGTCGGGCCCTCGTGTTCTCATGAGGGCCCCCCCCCTCTGCCTCCGCACAGTCGCATGCACCCCCCCCCGCTCCCGAGGCCGCGGTCCCTCGTGCAAAACGATTGGCCAGCGCTCCCTCCTTCGTACAACAACTATGTGCTCGCGCCCCGAGCTTCCAAGACGGCCCATGGCAGGCAACCAAGGCAATCAATACGGCCCAAGACACTTCGGAGCATTGCCAAGATGGCCCCAGGCGGCCGGATATGGCCTCAGGGCGCTCCGATGGCCTGAATACGGCCCAAGATGCCTCCAAGAGGGCCCACAAGGGCCCCAGGAGGGTCTCTAACACTGCACCTTTTCGGGCTTCCGTCAGCACGACAAGGGCCCAAGACGCCTCCCTCCACGATGGCCCTAAGACGGCCCAGGGGGCGCACCCGAGGGCCCAAGGATGGTCCAGGAGGACCCCACGAGGGCCCAAGGGGCATTTAGGATGGCCCCTATGACGGCGCACGAGGGCCTCATGGGACCCAAGGCGAGGCGGCCTTAGAAGGCCCCTCGACTGCCCAAGACGGCGCCAAAAGACGGTCCTACAACGGCCTCCAGGCACCAACCATTCGGCGGTGGACAAACCTAAACGACGGGCCTGGACCCGCAAAAATGACTGCCGCGACGCCCTCTCGCGAACCGAAAATGGCAAATTCCTTAATCGACGTGTCAGGGTAGGAGGTCTGTCCACCCCCGAACCATACTGCCGAGAGGGCCCCGAGACGGCCCAGGAGAGTCCCACGACGCGGCCCCAAGCCTGCCTCACAGGAGGCCAAGGCAGCCACACGACGGCCAGCAGGAGTTCCTCCAGAGCTCCTTACAATCGTGAGGACGAAAGGTGTCACGTGTGACAGTATTCCTCTTGCGTCTTCTCCTCCTGCTTCTCCTCGTCCTCCTTCTCCTCCTCCTCCTCCTCCTCGTCATCATCAAGGCTCTCCCAAGCCTGGAAACACGAGCTGCTACACGCGATGGCCTCCCGTGCCCTTTCGGACAGGCGCCACTTAGAATGCCTGGCTGGCACGGTGGCGGGACTTGCCGCAGGCAGCTGGATAGTACAAGCGCTCCAGCATCCCACAGCTTGGACCCTGAGAGTCGATGCTACGTCTCGGAACATCACGACCAGAGCCCTCGACCCCATCTTTCTGCTGCACTCCTCGAGTGGGATCGACCTGTGATGGCCCCAGGGCCCGAAACTTGGCGAAGACGCCCAGTGCCACAATTTGGAACGCCTACATCTCAAGGCACTAATATCATCAAGAGTTTTTTGTATGCCGCACCCTCTCCGCCCCAGTCAGCTTCCACCGCCTGGGGCCACGCTCAGCATACAGAAGATACGCCCCAGGGAGGGAATTCTGTGTACCACACCCACGACCAAGACCGTCGCCCACCCCCAGAGCTTTTAGGTATAGTCTAGAAATTCCTTGGGCGGATACTACATGTTACATGCGCTCCAGCAGCCCACGTTTTGAGAGGCCAGGGAGCCCGTACGCTTAAGTCGGGCGTGTCCCCCTACAGGGGATTTTTCGGCCAAAAATAAAAGATACCCCCAAAATGCCCCCCAAAGGTCAAAACATAATCAAGAAGTAGTCCCCAGACCATGTGTGGAAGATTTTTGAAATCATTTTTGGGGTATGTTTTGTTCGTCGAAAATCCCCCTGTAGGGGGACAGGCCCGACCTAACACTACATGCTACATGCGCTCCAGCAGCCCACGCTTTGGGAGGCCGGGGAGCCCGTACGCCGAGCACCCTGGCCGGCCAGACGGCGCGGCGCGTGCTTTTCGAGAGGCCCCCCCCCGGGCGGCCGCAGGTGGATCCAGAGGTGCAGCAGCAGCCGCCGCTCGTCCTCGAGGTCCTCTCGGGGGATCGAGGATCGAGGGACCGGAGTCCCCCGATCCTCGATGCAGAAGGACGCCTCCAAACCCCCCCCCCTCCCTCGATCCTCGACGTCCTGCGGGGAGGCGCGATGCCCAGTCCCTCGAGCCTCGAACTCTCGATCCTCCAGCTCGGGAAGCTTGCCCGCATGGACCCCCGGAGGGGTCCAGGGACCAGGGGCCCGTCTTGAGCGGATGTTGACAGACAACTGCCGACGCTCGAACATCGTCGTCTCCCTATATTTTGGTCGGGCATGTCCTCTTACAGGGGAATGTTGGAAAGATGATGTTTAAAAAAGAAACTGTTCAAACAAGAGTCGACACATATTCAAACATCTGCAAAAACACACACACACACAAGAAAAAACGTCCCATATGATTTTTGGACCATTCTCGAACATCCCTGCTGTACAGGGACATGCCCGACTTACCTCTATGTCTGTGGCCTTCCTTGGGGCGGCCGCCCCTCGGCCTCCAGGTCCTGGAAGAGGAGGACCGAGGCTCGAGGTCCCTGTTAGGAGCCCGCGGCCAGCCCGTCGCCTCCTGCACTGACTACCTACCAGACCACCCCAACCCACCCCGGAGACCCGAATTTCGGGTTGGGGGGGGCAAGGGTTCCACATGTGTTTGTTCTATGTTTCCCGACCCCCCCCCCCAATGGAAATCGAGGATAACTCTGGGCCTTCGGGTTGGGTTGGGGTGGTTTGGTGGGTGGTGACCCACGGCATCCAGAGATCCAGATTCCACCAGGGCAGAAAGGGCACAATCCCAAACACCCCGCTGCTCTCATGTTTCCGGTGCGCGGACCCTGAAGCTCCGGCCCCCTTCCCATAGGGCCAAATTTTCCGTCCTGAATCTCTTCCTTGATGCTCCCGAGGCCCGGCGAGGGCCCCCGGAGGCCGAAAACAGCCCAGCACCGCCGGCTCCAATTTTTAAGGAGCGTCGGATCTCTAGGGATGTCGCCCAGGGGGGGATCCCTGCTCCAACGAGGGCCCTCGCCGGACTCCGCGGCGAAGCCTCCAGCTGTTCTTGTTTTCTTTATATGTCGGGGGGCAGAGCCCCTGTTCGTTGGTTGCCAGACCCACCCACCAACACAACGGTGTGCCCTCCGCAGAGGGCCACGCATGTGCGAACACCCTCGTCGCCACTTAACTAAGTGGTAGCAATTCCTCCATCGCGCACGCTCGCCTCTTCACCCCCTCCTGGGCCAGAGAGGCCAACGACGTCGAACAAACTCCGCCAGGCATCAGGAAACCGCCCGCATAAAAAAACAATAACAAATCAAGCGAGGGATGTTCTCGACGTTGTCTCCGGAGACTTCCAGAGCCCCCGAAAAGCAGAAACCGTTCCTTCGTTCTTAGTGGTGTGTTATGTTTGTCCTGTTCTTCTTCTTCTTCTTCTTCGTCTTCTTCTTCATCTTCATATTATCATCATTGCTTATTATGCTTCTTACTATTCTTCTTCTTTTGTCTAGGTAGGGCAGGTGGGGGGGGGGGGGGGGGGGGGGGGCAGACACGGAGAACGGCGTCCGCGCGACGACGGCGATGCCGGTGGCAACGCAAGAGAATCGGAAAACTTCCACGGGTCTGCAGCCGCCGCCGCCCTCGCCGCCGCCGCCGCCCTTCCTCGCTCTGCCGCTGCCGCCGCCGCCGCCGCCGCCGTCTCCGTCGTCGCCGCTGTCGTCGTCGTCGTCGTCGTCGTCGTCGTCGTCGTCGTCGTCGTCGTCGCTCGGACGTCGTCACTCAGGACGTCGTCGCCGTCGCCCTCGGGACGATCCTCGACGCGGAAACGGCCGCGCTGCTGCAGCGGCCCGTCTGGGTGCAGCACGGGCGGGCCCTCCAGCGGCCTCGGCAGCAGCTCCTGCAGCTGCAGGTCCCGCTGCAGGGCCCGGCGCGTACTCTCGTAGCACGCGGGCGCCTGCACGGAGGCACGGCTGCAGCGCCGAGAGGACGCCCAAGAGGCCCAAGAGAAGGATGCCCCAGAGGCCGAGGGGATGCCCATGAGGGTGCCCAGCTCGGAGGAGGGCCCACGAGGCCGGGCAAGCTTCAGAGGGCCTCGGCTCCTGGAAGCCTCCCGCCTCGGGGATGCGGTGCAGCAGCTGCGCCCGGCCGAGAGAGTCGATGCGGGGAGCCCGGAGTTTTCCGCGCGGCCGCTTGAGACTGGAGTTCTGAGCCGAAGACCGAGTGACCTCTCGCCAGAAGACGGCGCCTTTGGTCCTTTTTGGGGGCATCCTTTTGGACGCCCGCTCGCAAATATCACGCGTGACAAGCACAAGCGATTCGCGCCCGGCCACGGCGCGCTCCGCGCGAAGCTACTCGTAACGACGCGGCGGCACTGGCGCCCCCTATGCGAACATCTGAATTTGCTTCACGGAGGGACGCGGGTGATCTACGATCCATTACATCGAAGCAAACATTTGGTTTTTGGGCGTTTGCGAGTAAGCACTTTGCGAGTAGTGGAACGCGCTCGGTGAGTCACCACGGCCGGATCCGTCTCGAAAAACACACTTGTGGCGTCCAACACCCGGAGAGCGACGCAATCGAAGGCGCGTGTAACGCCCCTCTGGGGAGCTTGCAAGCTCGAGAAAGCAGCTTCGCAAGAGATCCCAAGGAGCTTCGAAACGACTGCGGAAAGGCTTCCGGCACGCGCATCGGGATCGAGTAGGACAACGCTTGCCGGAACACGCTGCGACTTCAAGCAGCCCGCTGCTAAGCTGCCGGACAGGCGCCGGAAAGAGCTGCCGGGCCACCTTGCGCTGCCGGCTTCTAATCTGAAACCCTCTGAGCTCTCAGAGAGCTATCAGGGAATCAGGATGGGCCCCAGGAGGAGTCCAGGGACTGATTTTGAGCGGCGTTGGGCCCAGGGTGCAGCGATGCACACACACACACACACACAGGAGCACGGAACACAGGTCGCCAGCGCCCAGGCCCCTGGAGGGCGTTCGGACTGGCTGAAAAAAAAGTGCAGAGATCGCTCTACACCGTGCAGGGCGGCGGCGTGGTAGCGTGGCGCAGTGTAGCGGTGAAGCAATGCGAGTCGATGCTATTGTTACAGGGTCCCGAGGGATCTCGACCGTGCACTCTGGCACAATGAAGCGTGATTGAATGCCAAGTGCTCTCTGGCAGTGTTTCTGTAATCTCCCAGGCAACTCCCTCCCTCGGCTCTACCCGCAGAACACAGCATGCGAAGCTCCCCTGCCCGAAGCCACGATCCCCCGTAGAAAACAATGGGTCCGAGCTCCCAAACTTTCAAGACGACCGATGCAGGCAATCAAGGCTGCCAAGACGGCTCCAAGACGGCCCACGATGGCCTCAAGACGGCCCCAAAGGCTCCCAAGACGGGGCTTCTGTGTCCCTCAGAGGCGGCCACTGTTGAGTCCCAATGTGATACCGAATGTCGTGATCGTCGATCCTCTGCATGGTGACCTTGGCACTGGAGTCGATATGTGCAGAGGGGAGGTCCTGCTTTCCTCCTTGGCCAGCCAGTCCGAGTAAAGGTGTAAACAGAATACCACGAACATGTGGCGGATTCCAAAAACCCTGAACCCCCCTAAAACTGTCATTTCTTGGGGGCGCATTTTTTGTTCCGCCGACCTTCCGCCGCCTTCTGCCGAGGAAGAGATGACATCTGTTTTTTCCCTCGAAAGGAAGGCCCTCTTTAGATCGCTACATGTAAGAGATAAGCGTGATAAGATTTACTTCCCGCCGCACGCCCGCTGGTACCGTGTGGCGCGCGCGTGTGCCTCCCGAAAACTCTCGGGCTGGAAATGGCGCGCGGCGTGGGGCCGTGGCGGGTAAATGGCCGGCCCTGCTCGCTCCGAGAAAAAGTCGCTGAGCTAGGGCTCCCTGCAACACAAATGGGGAAGGAGCGTAAGGATGACCATGGACCACAAAAACGTTCTTGCACATTTTCAAATGCCAGCCACCACCAGACCTCAGAGCGCCCCCCAAATGCCGCATCATTGCCCAAGAAGGCCCCAATACAGTCCAAGAGGGCGCCCTGGACGGGCCAGGGCGGTCCCCAAGGCAGCCCCAAGTTGGCCCAACAGGGTTTCCGGAGGGACTCAGGACGGCCACATAGCCCCTCGGCAGGGTTTAAAGCCAGTTGGGAGACCCGACCAGATACTACGCCTTAGGCGTATCATACGTCCAACCCTGTTGTATCGTATGAGCGATAGTGCCACATGTAGAAGATGGCCGCGTGGGCGGCGAGGGAATATCTCAAGAGAAAACGGTGGAACCTTTTCTGTCTCGGTGTCAGATAGCGGGCCGCGGTGCGACCCGGTCAAATTGGTGGCCGCTTGAGCCCAAGCGGCCGCGGACAAGCGCTCGATACCTCTCGCCTTTGCCCTTCCTCCTTCAGAATCGGGGGGAAACGACGAAGCGTGAGTCCGCTACTGGCCTTACTCAGCAAAACAACTATGTTACAAAAGAAGGGCAGCGTCCAGCGGGTTCAACCTTAGCAAGTTCCCCCGCAGCTTACTACTCCTCGGCCGGCTCGAATGGCTTCGTCTGGCCAGCCTTGTAGGGAGCGTGCCGCTTCAAGTCGTGCTTGAAGGATTGTATTCCGTCCATAACTTGTAAGAGCATATCTCTGTCAATGCTCCCCTTGGTGTAACACTATGCAGTCAGATCGCGGGCGTCGCGGTGTCGCACCAGCGCGCACTATACACGATGCCACGCTCCATCACTTGCCGTATCCAACTGATGTGACCCGAGGGGTACAGTTTCACTCGGATTCTTCAGGTATTTGCTTGACAAGGACATGAAGACATGTTCCGCATCAGTGGTCAGGGTGAACTTAATGTTGTGGCCGCCCATCTCAAGAATGTCCTTAAATTGAATGGGTGTCAACGGCCCTGCGTGGAGCCCGTGTAGCGTAACAATCGTGGGGTACCAGTCCTCCAAGATACTGGCTGCTGCTAGTGTTTCAGCTGAGTAGCTAGAGCGGGCCTGCAAGCGGTGAGACTCGCAGTTCGCGTCAACAAGATGGACGACAAGCTTACCAGCAGGCATGTGCCCACGCCTTCGCAGGTTTGCCCCGCGACTACCATAGCCTTCGACTTCGTCATCGGCATCGCCGTCCAGGCGACGGTAGCCAGAATCACGATGCAGGTCTACCTCGCCCGTTGGAGTCATCTTTTTACACGCGATCTTCATAGGACAGGCCTGCCATTTCCTGGTAATCGCGATGAGTCGTCGCACTTGCATGTCGGTCGGTTCTTGGACGCGCTGCAGTGGTGCAACATATACCATTAACCATGCTTGTGTGATACGGGCGTAAGCCAGAGCGCCTCTGAGGCTAACAGGCATGCCAGCGACCATGATCGATGCTTTGGCCTCAGCATCTGCGCCCGTGAGCCTGTGGCGCTGGATAGGGCGGGGCTGTCTTATAGATTCGTCTTGGTCAAGAGTAACAATACCGTCGCTGTCCTTGGCACGCAGCGCAGTTGGTAGATGTGTGTTTGTTGAGTTTACAGCTCCCAAAAGGTAACCTCAACGCGCCTGACGCATTTGTCCATGGTGTCCTCAGCACTGGCCATGTTTATATCATCAAAATGTTTGGCAGTCAGAAGGCTAGGGCTCACCTCGGAACTCCTCGTCGTAAGATGTGGGTCTGAGTCCAGAGCCTCTCGTGGTCGTCCTGGGTTTCAGCGAAAGGCTCTTGGTGCATCTTTGGTGCCAGTGCCTGGTTCACGACACTGCAGACAGCGTCTTGACTCATCATAGTGCTCAAACCCACGGAAATCTGACTGCTGATGCTGAACCAAGTGGCAAGATAAAGCGCACCGCGCGTCCTTTTTCACCGGTCGCTGCAGCGAGCTCTTGATGCGCGAGCCCCTTCAAGAAGGCCACGTTGACGTCGAGGGAAGCAATGGTCCACTGCTTGCTGCGCGCCGCCGCGCTGGCGAGCAATCGCTGGCTTGGCCGCCGCGCCGTTCCTGAGAGCGCTTCTGGGTCGAAGGCTACGGGGCCCATGAAGCCCCGAAGTACCAGGCGCGACCTGATAGTGCGCCCCATTCCGCCCTTTTCGTTTCTGACGAATTTCCATGTGCAGCATGCGATCTCGAAACCGCGATGATTGACGCCTTGAATATAGCTTATAGTTTGAAACACTTGTTACCAAGCCCTGTCTTTAGTTCAGTATATAGGGCGTTCAACACCATGACTGGATTCGCCTGAATGTCTGCCTCCGCGAGAAGGTCGTCCTCCTCGGCGACTGCAGCTCGTTTAGCTACAGCGGTCACATATATTCGCATCGTGGTAACACGGTCGAAGTCCAGTATCCTACGCCGCTGTTCGGATAAGACTATCTTCGACAGTTCTGCCGCACAGCAGAGTTCTACATACTGCCCGCGCTCGTCGGAGTCTAATCCAGTACTGCCATCTTCGTCCGTAGAGCACAATGGGCCATGATCTGTCTCGGCTGTGTAGATGTCCTGTGGATCACCCCGCGCAGGGAAGTGCCCTTGCTGTCCTTCAGCTACAGTGACCAGCGCGCTGTTGTCAGAGATCATCTGTGCGGGTGCAGTAGAAAGTTCCTCTGCTGGGTTTGCCTCCAGCAGTTCCCTTTTGTATGTCTGCATGCCGCACTTCCACTAACCGCATGCCGATGATAATAAAGGGGCCCCCCCCCCTTCAGTGTTTAGAGTTGATTATCGTCGCCCTATGCAAAATTCAAAATGGGCGGCGAGCGCTGAGGCCGAACTTCATTATCACCTCGAAACGCTATGTTGAGATAGCAACATCAAGCGATGTTGCTATATCAACATCAAGCGATGTTGATATAGCAACATCTCGTCTTATTATTCTTATACTTTCCTCTTCTTCTTTTATATTTCTATCTGTCCTCACGCTCGCCTGAACTTTTTTTTATCCCTGGGGTTGATTATCCATGGAAAATGAAGCACATGAGCT